TGATAGTTTGGCTTGTGTGGTTTCTTAGCTACCAGACTGACCCGTTAGTGGAGCTGATGTTTTAGCTTTCAGGGTAGAGCTTGTGCCTTTGGAGCCTAAGGATAAGAGTTCAAATCCTCCGCTTCCTCCCGGTGTAGCTGATGGGGCATGTCTGCCTCAAATAGCCGAGCCCGACAAGAGGAGTTTAAAGAAGCTTAGTGCACAAGAACAAATACCATTGCAATGTGTAAATAAGCAACTTTTTTTTTTTTTTTTTGATCAATCTAAGTCCCATTTAAGGCAAATTTTTGCTTTGTCTTTTCATCAAATTCGTACATTCCAAGGCCAGAACGGACCATTGTGATGATCTAGTATAACAGGGCCATGCTGGAGAGAGAGCCATTGCATTCCCAAATATATGTCGCAAGGTACATTCTGGCAGCTTCACAGATCTCCAGGGACTAGCAGAATCCTCAGCACCAAGGCGCTTTCATAGAGATTTTGATGGGTGAAATGCAAGCCAATTAAGCTGCATCTCTTCACTGCTTGTTTTCCGTTTGTAGCTAATTGAATTGCCTCATTGGTAGCTGAAGTGATCTGGGGCTGATTGGAATATAGCCTGCCTTGGTGAGAACAGAAACCAAGTGGAGATAATACAACTGACCACTGGGTGGCTTCCATGTCTGCGAGATAAACCTAGCTCTGAATGCTGGCGCGGTCTATTTTGCAAATCTGTGGTGGGACAGATTGTTGGTCGTCACTTATAAAGCGCTATCACAGCCCCACCGCCACCTCTGCTACAGACTTTGAAGCACCCCCTCCCTCTATATGAAACGGTCATGTATCAAATGACCCAAACAGAAGAGACTTGGAAAAACGGGGGGAAATCAAATGGGCATCTCAGGGATTTAGCTGCCCAGACACGGGCCTGCCAGTGAGAGAGCCTTGCCCCCTGCCTGACAATCACAGCCAGTTGTCTTGGCGGGGGGGGAGGCTGGAGTGAAATGTGGGCCTACATCTACCATGGCTCTAGACTAAAAGGCTTGATATTGTGGTAAGGGGACCTCGAAGTGTGTCCGATGGCTCTCTGCCAGCTAGTGCTGTATGCAGATTACAGGCACCATTGATTCCCAGGCATCTCTGTGCCAGTCAGCAGGCAGACAGGTGTGAGCTGCAAATGCAGCAGCTACTGGATCATCTTCAGGGGACGCCCAAGAAGGAGCAAATTACAAAAATCTAGCTGGGCATGGTTCACCTTTGAGAGGAAAGTCTGTCTGGGCATTCAGAGTGTTGGCCTTGCTGAGCCCCATCCCAACATTATCTGTTAACCTCTTAGTTTTGAGTTTGGCAATTCCTCCTGGTCCTGCCTATTGTAGGTAGACTTTTATACTGGGCTAAATATGCAAGAAAGAGGTGACCCAAAGAGCCATGTATTTTTTACAGCATGTTTCTCTTTGCCCTTTGCTGGAACTGCATTTATTTGTTTGCGAACAAACTCTCTCCTTCCTCTCTCCACCTGCTGGATCCGTCAGTGAAGTCACTTATGCCATCACACACTATCCCTGTGAAGTGTCTCCACTGGGGGACCAGCGAGGGGAGACAATCCTTTGTTAACGAGGAGAGTGTCAAGGAACCTTGTTAGAGACACAGAGAAAATGCTAGGTGAGCGTTATCGTTAGGGGAAAAGGCTGTGCTTTCCAGAGACTGATGTTCCTCGTTCATCTCTGGAACAAGTACAGCCCAGGCAGGCGGCAATGCAATCTCCCCACACTGAATCCACTCACTGGCCTCACCCCAGAGCTGGATGGACCACATCTGGGGATGGCAGGACAGTTCATTCTCTCCCATCTCTCTGGATTCTCTCTCTGTCTGTCCGTGGCCTGTCTGATCCCTGACCACATGGAGATTTGCCGGCCAGGGTGCCGGTTGCGCTGGAGGTTTCTGTGATGTGGACACTGTTCTACTAAGAACAGGCTGCTGCACCAACTCAGTTCACAGCGGCCACTCAATAGGCAAGGGACAATTGGAGGGGGAGGGGGAATGAGACCACACCAAGGCACCTTTGAAATCTCTGCATGTTTTCTTCACTTGGCAGGAGTCCCTCTCCCAGCCCCATCTGGACTGGCTGCATAGTTCACTAGCACCACGATTCCACTCCGTGCTTTCAGTTAGGGCTCTTCACATCTGTTGTTTTACTCGAGTTGCACCAGAGCCGTGAGCCAGGCTGCAGCTTGCAGCTGGTTTATTGGGTGGTAGTTCAAATGCAAACCAATGTGATGGCCTCCCGCTGGGCCAGACTAGCCTTTGAGTATCGGGGGAGCCTGTGACTACTGGGGATGGGGGCGCTGGCCGCTCAGAGAGAGGGTGGAAATACCAGGGCTGACTCTGCTCTCCTCTCCCCCATTCCTGCTGGCGTAACACCACGGATTTCAGTGAGTTGCTCCTGACCTTATGCTGGGGTGAGTGAGGTCAGAAGCAGACCCCTGTTGCATCTGGAAATTTGAGACAGGGAAGGCGTTGCTATAAAATTCCAGGAGCCAAGTCTCACCTCTGCCCCCTGCCAGCTGTCTGCTTCTCCTCTGTACATTGCTTGGGCATTAGCTTGGTGGAGCTTATCCCTGCTTCGGCTGCTGTGGGGGTATTTTTCCCTTCAGCATCCCCTGGAGCAGGAAGGGGTGGGCCAGGAATATGTTTTATCTGTGTCTTTCAGCAGGCCACGACTGTGGGGCTCTCACTGTGGCTGCCCTTGGGCTGTCTGTGTAGAAGAGCTCCCTTGCCCACAGATCCCTTGGGTGGGCGGTAGCTTGGCATCTTTGGGTTGGAGACTACATCACTGGGCATGGAGACTACACATGTTCAGAACTTGGGCTTCACCTTGAGTGGGGCATGGCCAGTCTCTGTGCCATGGAGAGAACAGCTCTCTACAGCTTCACAGCTACGAGGGAGGCAGTGTGGTCTAGCGAATAGAGCACTGGACTGGGGCTGGCGAGACCTGGGTTCTATTCCTGGCTCTGCTGCTGGCTGACCTTGCCCAAATCATTTTGCCTCAGTTTCCCCACCTGTAAAATGGGGATCATGATACTGACCTCCGTTGTAAAGTCCTCTGAGCTTTACTGATGAAACATGCTGTGTACGAGCTGCATGCTGGTGGTGGTATTACTCTGCCTGGTGAGGAAGGCTCCTTTGCTGCATGATTCAGTTATATTGGGGTGATGTCAGCTGAGTTAGTTCCAAATCACAACAATGTGAGAGGAGACTCCACCCCGTTGCACCCGCACATCCTGCAGCGCGTGGAATAGTTTGAAACTCATCCTGGTTTGCTGGGCAAATTTTCATTGGTCAGGTGAACTCCCTGGGGCTGGTTAGTGGACGTTTAGCAGGTTAGTGGAGGACTGCAGACGCGTGCTTCTTTTTTGATCCTGGGACCAAACCTGCAAAAGTGCTCACATGCAAATCAGCTCTTCTGTGTGGGTGTGCAAGGCCCTGGTATTTGCACACCTACGATCTGCATTTGCACTTTTGAGGCTCTGCCCTGGGATGATGTAGGGAATAGATAGTTGTAAATCTTGGGAAACATAATAAAGCCCTTGCATTTGCCGGATGAGAATGGAGGTGAGCTGTCAGCACGGCATGTGGGGGATTAGCAAGGCATCTCCCATCACAAAACATTGTAAGTGCATCCAGCTGTGCAGAGGCATCAGTGTGAGGGGGGCATGTGCTTTGCTGTCAGAGAGGGGCCGGTATCAGCCCCCTCGATCTAAATACCCCAGAGGTTGAAATCCTGATCCAAATTTGGCAAATCGCCCCTGTCTTTTTATAGTGCACTTAACGGAAACCCAGCCCTCGGGCTGCCCAGCCTTGGGAGTGTTTGAAATCCAAATCCCAAGCTTGTAGTTCTAGCCCATCTCTAGCGCTTATTGGGAGGAAGCGGTGAACGTGCTTCAAGAAGGATTTCTCCCCCCCACACACTCCGCTGTGTTTTAAAACCCTGGGGGAGCTGCGCGCTGCCTGCGCTCCCCACGCTAAACCCTTCAAGGCAGCAGTGGAATTTTATCTCTTTTTTCCCCCCCTCCTGCCCCCACCTTCTAACCCTCCTGAATGCTTAACATTCTCTGTTTTATTTCATACGGGTGTATAAAAATCCATCTCCCCAGCCCCTTATCCTGCCAGGTGGTTTGCTTTATGTGAGCAGCGCTGGGTCACCTCCGCAGCGTAAAGCGATCCAGACTTATCGGGCTGTTAGTACCAATCATGGAGAAGCCTGGCTTTGCTAGGGAGAGAGCTTTTGACTGGACATGTCATCTTTTATTTAGCTTCCCCCGCTCAGTGAACTCCTGGCTTTTTTCAGGCCTGTTTAATTAGTAACCACTGAGCACATGATGACACATGTTCCTGCTTTCCTAGTAAGTGCCAGGTAGTTTCGCCGGGGAGGGGGATGTGTCTTGTGCTGGGGAGGGGAGAGGGGAAACTAGCAAGGGAAGGAGCTAAGGGGCAGCTCAGATGGAATGATCACATGTTCGTGAGAGGATGAATCCTAGAAAGGGCATCTCTCTCTGTCTCTGTCTGCTCCCCCTCCCGCCCCCTCGTGCTGTGCTAGTGCTGAGGTAATTGTACAGAATCCAAACGCCTGAAAAGTGAAAGAGAATTCAGTTGCTGCCGAGAGCGGCCAGAGGGCTCCTGAATGAATAAGCGCTGAGAACGAGGGGACTGCTTGGGCAGCATGGAGTAGGTGCTGGCATCTGGATTGTTTTCTGCAGCTCCTCTAACGTGCATAGTCCTTAAACTTAGCCAGGGATGCCCTTTGCCTGCAGTGTTGTGTTGCGGATCTGGGAGCTCTGCTGCTTTTAACCTTTTCTTTCCCCTGGCACCTTACGGGGGAGGTGGTGATGGTTGAGTTTAGCAGCAGTTTAAAAAACAAAAGGTTTTGAAAAAGCAGGGAGAAAAATGAAGCATGGGACTGAAATTGTGATCGGCAAGAGAAATAACTTCTCTTCCTATCCCCTCCCCCTTCTTCTTTGCAGAAAAAAGCAGAAGCGGCCCACAGGATCCTGGAAGGACTGGGTCCCCAAGTGGAACTGGTAAGTCTTGTCTCACAACATGGGGATTTGGAGGGCAGCCAACTTTGGAGAGGTCTTGGGAGACCAGTGCACCATCCTATGTGTAAACCATAAGGAGGAAGTGTTCTGCTGGCCAGAATGTGTCACTGGTGTGCACCAAAGAGGAAGCAAAGCGGATAGTGTGAACACACACACACACCATGTAGCTCTGTTCTCGGAGCCTTAGCCTGCTTCTACCTCTGCCAAAGGCAGATTGGTGGGAGGGACTTTCCCAAAACCTGATTGGTGCCTGACACTGCAGTTGTGAATGCGTGACGCTAATGTTTTCCTCCACCACGTTCCTGGTACTATGCATTCAGCGCCTCAGTGGCTGGTGAACATCAGGATGCTGTGTGCGGGCGATCTCATTGTGGGCCCCCCTCCCCAGCACAGTTATAATAGGAGAGCATGCGGGGAGGGGGGCAGGAGAGGTGTCAGAAGAGCATGTTCCAGGACTGCCCGTTCTAGATCGGAATGACCTGTCAGCAATAACTCTGTGAAGTTGTAAGAGTCCAATTTCCGTCTCTCTCCGCTGCCTGACGTACTTCTGGGAGCAGTGAAAATTCAATCATCGTTATTCATGGTTGCTGTCAAATTTCAGCTGTCCCCTCCCCTCTACCCAACACACCCTGCTCTGTCTCCAGCAAATGCCAGTGACTATATGATTCCTGAGCTGTAGGTGAAAACAGCTCATTGCGGGGCGCTGTGTCGGAGCTTCCCAGGAGAACTCCCTCTACTCTATTTAAAGGGAGCAGTTGGGTGGGGGGAGGAATGAGGGCCCAGTCCTGTATCGTGCTGAGCACCCTTAGCACCCACTGACTGCAGCCTTAATCAGACAGGTACTTTTTAGGTCAAGTGTATGGTGGAATCTGCCAGATGAATAGCCCCTGGGAAGAGGGGGGTGGGGGATGAGCCAGCCTTGCCAGTTTTAATTCAGAAGTGTTTGGGATAGCGTGGCATTAAGTGTGTGTGTGTGTGTGTGTGTGTGTGTGTGTGTGCAGGAGGTGTCACAAGGAAGTTAATGATCCCCGGTTCGCCTCTCAGTTAGGGAGATCGCGCATAACTGTGTCTCCTTGTAGTCCCCAAGGAGTTAAACCCTTCAGAGTCTCTCTCTGCTCCTCCGGTTGGCTGTCAGGGCTGAGTGCTGGTCCTTTAAATGCGGTGTGTTTAAATAAATGAATGGCACTGGGTGGTGTTTACTGAGGCTAAGCCTGTCTCTCTGTCCCAGCCTAGTCGCTGTCCATTCTAGCCCCACTTCTGAGTGGGGCATGGAAACCTGGCCTGTATGCACATGCTGCAGAACGGGGCTTACGCTCTTTTCCCATCTCCCACTCGCTGCCATGTTGTGGTGAGCACAACAGGGCCCCAGCCACGACAAGGGCCCTCGAGAAGCTACTGGGACCCAAGAAATGAGGTTCATATGCAGCTACTCTTCTGAATCAGAAAGGAAATTGCTCTAGGAAGGAGGACAGAGCTTTCCATGCCTGCCTTGCTTGGTATTCCTCCTCTTTAGACGGTCTGGTGATATAGGCACATACAACAGTCCTAGGCGACCCTCAAGCCCTAGAGTCTCTTGTGCAGCTCTGGGTCCCTTGGAGCCAGTTGCATGTGAAAGGGCTGCAGATTTTTCCTGAGTTCACTCGAAATACAGCTGCGTGAATTGCTCCCGACTTGGCTGTGGGCATGGCGGTCTCACTAATATTAGGTCAAGAGCACTCTGGTTACTATATTCAAACAGAGGTGGTGACAGATAAACGTCGGCTTGATCAGGAGGCAGCTTGCCAGGTGCTGATTGCTCAAAGCAAGAGGTCACTGAGGAAATTGGTTAGTCAAAACTGAGAGAGGCAGGAGGTCATGCACGCATTAGCAAACTGCGGATTGGGATCTGGGGCTGAGGGGAACATCCTGATAGCATTAAGGTGTTAATGGCAGGGTTGAATCTAGAGCTCCATCTCCTCAAGGTAGCGATTGTATTTGAGTGGAGAGATTGAAACTTGTTTGATTTCTCTCTTGTTTCCAATGCTGGTGGGCAGACAGATTGGCAGTTTGAACATTGCAGTACATTGCGGCTTTCATTCGACTTCATTTTCAAAAGGGTGTCACACTAGCCAAGTCCCCCATAACAAATGTAACTCGTCTCATTTTTCCAAGTGGACATTCTCCAGAAGGAATAGGCTGTGCTCATCTTACCTTAGAGAAATGCTAATTGGGATCTGTCACACGTGCGTCTCTGCCCAATTAAGTATTTACAAAATCTCTCTTTCTGTGGGGTGTATTTGGCCACAAGGAAAGACAGCGTTCGCTCAACCAGGGCACAGTTAATTCTGAAACATTTTACTATTGGTGGTCACCGATGAGATTATTGTATTTCTTATGGATGGGGGATGTCTCTCTTTGTTTCATCGTGGGGGCAGAATTAGGGTGATGTGGATATTGGGCAGATGAAAGTTTCTAGCCTATGAGCATATAATGACAAGTGATGTGTTGAACTGGATGTTGGCATTTTAGAGTTCCATATTTCTTAATCTTTGGGTTTCTTTTCAAGTGCTGTGTGGAACGGCATGTCATTAACTCAAACAACCTAAACTGTTAGTTAACAAAAAATGTTGTGTATGCAGTGTTGTTGTAGCTGTGTTGGTCCCAGGATACTAGAGAGACAAGATGGGGGAGGTAATAAAAGTTATTCGATAGTGTCTCTAAAGTTTTTTCCTTGTGGCAGTATAAGAAAAAGCAGCAGAAGTTCGTGACGTTAATCAAACTGATGTATTTGCAAGGTTGTGTGTGCACAAGAATATATCATAACCCATAAGCAGCCGCACCAGCCATTCCTCCCTCCCCTTCCACCAGGAACTGGTGTTTACATGACTCATCAAACCCCTGGCGGTTCAATCTCGGTTTACCCAATCACACTGAAGAAAGGCATTTTCATTTATCAATATGTTTTCTCGCCCTTCATTCCAGTCCTGGCAGCCCCCTTGCAGGAGCTCACGGCAGAAGTGCATTGTAAAGTGGCTCCAGCATTCCTGCAAAGAGAGCCCCTCCAGTGTGATTTTTGATCAGGAGGAACGTGCTGATGTGATGCGACAGAGTCTTGGGTTTTTCTCTTCCCAGCGGAGGAATTGATTCTAAGGATGGACCTACCCTCTCGAAGTTACCTGGACTTAGTAGGGCAGATGCCTGTTTCCCCTGCAGCTTTCCAAACTTGAATTAGTCAGCAGGTTCTTTGCCTGCACTTCAACAAGCAGATTTGGGTGGGCTAATGTTAGAAATGTGCATCGGGGAAGGGAAGCTGCTGTTAACCTAGCTCCTGACTGGGTCATACCTGTCTTGTCTTGTATGCCCTTGCATTGCCAATGGGGGTTGCCACAGCATCCTTGTAGCACATACGTTGCCTGGGATACGGTTGTAGTCCGTTGCACTTCTGCATCATGACGCAGACCACCAGTACTGCTTCAATGAACTTCATTCGATTAGGGGTCTGACTGCATCGAGACTGCTTTCCATGTCGTTACCATGGAAAACTGTGACGTGAGCCTGATGCCTTCCATAGCACAGGTGCAGTCAGCATGTTAGCGCTGGGATGCTACGGCGGTGGGCACATCTAAAAGTATGGAGTCTGATCCTCTGGCCATCTCCTGCTTGCTGATCTATAGCGATTATTACTCTTCAATTTTACAAAAATTTTCTGTCGTTGCCCTCCTGGTGATATGGCAGTTGTGTTGACTCTGCCATGTAATTACAGAGCAGAATGGGGAGGTCAACCTTTAAAAGGAGGTCAACCTTTAAAAGAAGGGGCAGAAACATAACAATGGCCATTCTGGGTCAGACCAATGGTCCATCTGTCCCACTACCCTGCTTGTGACAGTGGCCTGTGCCAGATGCTTCTGGCCTTTGGAGGTTACGGGACAGCCAGAGCATGAGGTGGTGTCGATGATCATCTTGGCTAATATCCAGTGATGGACTTGTCCTTCATGAACGTATCTAGTTCTTTTTTGAACCCAGTTATACTTTTGGCCTTCACCATATGCCATGGCAATGAGTTCCACAGGTTGACTGTGCATTGCGTGAAGAAGTACTTCCTTTTGTTTGCTTACACCTGCTGCCTATTAATTTCATTGGGTGACCCATAGTTCTTGTCATGTGACTGGGTAAATAACACTTCCCTATTCACTTTCTCCACACCATTCATGAGTTTATAGACTGCTGTCACATCCCCCCCCTTAATTGTCTCTTTTCTAAGCTGAATTGTCCCAGTCTTTTTAATCTCTCCTTGTATGGAAGCTGTTCCATACCCCTAATCATTTTTGTTGCCCTTCTCTATACCTTTTCCAATTTTAATGTATCTCTTTTGAGATGGGGTGAGCAGAACTGCACACAGTATTCAAGGTGGGGCATACACGGATTTATATAATGGCATTATGATAGTTTCTGTTTTATTCATCTACCCCTTTCCTAATGGTTCCTAACATTCTGTTCGGTGTTTTGAATACCGCTGCACATGGAGCGGATGTTTTCAGAGAACTCTCCACAATGACTCCAAGATCTTTTTCTTGAGCAGTAACGGCTGATTTTGACCACATCATTTTGTATGTATAGTTGGGATTGTTTTTTCCAATGTGCATTACTTTGCACTTATCAGCATTGAATTTCATCTGCCATTTTGTTGCCCTGTCATCCTGTTTATTTAGATCCCTTTGTAACTCTTCGCAGTTTGCTTTGGGCTTACCTATCTTGAGTAATTTTGTATCATCTGCAAACTTTGCCAGCTCACTGTTCACCCCCTTTTCCAGACCATTTATGAATATTTTGAACAGCACAGGTTCCAGTACAGATCTTTTGGGGACCCCCTATTTATCACTCTCCATTGTGAAAACTGATCATTTGTTGCTGCCTTTTATTTCCTATCCTTTAACCAGTTAATGATCCATAAGAGAACCTTCCCTCGTATCCCATGACAGCTTACTTTGAATAAGAGACTCCTTTCAAAGGTTTTCTGAAAGTCCAAGTACACTATATTGACTACGTCACCCTTGCCCACATGTCTGTTGACACCCTCAAAGAATTCTAATAGATTGGTGAGGCATGATTTCCCTTTACAAAATGTGTGATTCTTCCTCAACATATTGTGTTTATCTAAGTGTCTGATAATTTTGTTCTTTACTATAGTTTCAAGCAATTTGACTGATACTGCCTGTAATTGCCAAGATCGCCTCTGGAGCCTTTTTAAAAAATAGGCATTATGATAGCTATCCTCTAGTCATCTGGTACAGAGGATGATTTAAACGATAGGTTACATACCACAGTTAGTAGTTCTGCAGTTGCACATTTGAGTTCCTTCAGAACTCTCGGGTGAATACCATCTGGTCCTGGTGACTTATTACTGTCTAACTTTTCTATTTGTTCCAAAACCACCTCTATTGACACCTCAATCTAGGACAATTCCTCAGATTTGTTACCTAAAAAGAGAGGCCCACATCTCCCTCACATTTCTGCAGTGAAGACCAACGCAAAGAATTCATTTAGCTTCTCCGCAACGGCCTTGTCTTCCTTGAGTGCTCTTCTAGCCTCAGCCATCGAGGGGCCCCGTTCCTGCTTCTGATGTACTTAAATTTTTTTTTTTTTTTTTTTTGCTCTTAGTTTTTGTGGTTTTTTTGCTAGTTGTTCTTCAATTCTCTCTTGGCCTGCCTTATTATACGTTTACACTTAACTTGCCAGAGTTTATGCTCCTTTCTATTTTCCTCACTAGGATTTGACTTCCAGTTTTTAAAGGATGCCCTTTTGCCTCTGAACTGCCTCTTTTATTCTGCTGTTTAGCTATGGTGGGTTTTTTATGGTCGTCTTAGTGTCTTTTGTTTTGTTTTATTTGGCATATACGTTTAGTACAGGGGCTGCATCTTTGAAAAACAAGCTTCTAGGACAGACAGTAGTAGTATCCTACTATAGACTGAAAAAGTCCATTGGGTGGGTGTGGCAAGGTCTTAGATGCTGAAAAATTGTTGAAAGAGACACGCTGAGCCAGTAGAACAGCCATTAGCCCAAGCCTTTCAAAGGCTGTGGGATCGGGAATCTGATAAACACAGGCCAAACCAGTCCTTTATCTCTTTGTCATGGCTCTTTTCAATAGTTTAACGTGAAACAAAATTACACTCAACCCTCAGTCCAACCTCAGCTGCATTACCATGGAGAGCGAACATGGCTGGCTTGTATTTAACCATGTTCAGAATATAGACTTCGACCATAAGCCATCCATCACGCGCGCGCCTGGCTGTTTGACCACGCTTTGCCACAGATGTTAAATCGCTTGCAGATGGTTTAGTGAAAGTTTATGGATAAATTGCCTGCACAGTTGGATGGCGTTTCTGTGGTTAGACAGAGATTGTGTTAATCAGTTGCTGTTTGTGGCTGGGCGATGGTTGGCTTTATTAACACAGCATGGGGTGTGCTCACAGACCCTTATCTTTAGAATTAGGCCAGTGGCTAGACATGTTGATTTGGTTTTGATCCCGAATTCATGGTTGTCTCTTTTGGTACTTGGGCTGCGTCTGGTGCCATTCTCCAGCAATCTCTGTTGCACCAGTGGCTCTTGTGGCTTTCCCTGTTTCCCCTTCACATTCTCTTGGCTGCGTACTTGGGTACGAGCTGGTTTATAAATGGTGTAAAACTGATTTTTAATGCGGGGAGGGGATCTTGTGCCAGTGTTCCTTATTCTTCTCACTTGGCCGGTGTAACTGAGCCCCCTGGCGGAAATCCCCCCCCCCCCCATGCAAAAAGAAGTATCTTGCGTAGTGCATCATATGCTGTTGTGTACAAAGCACAGAAGAGCCGCTCTTTTAACAAGATCAGTCCAGAGCAGAGAGGCCTGCCCTGTGGCACAGGGCTTGGCACAGCCCTCCAAGTGGGGCAGGAAGGCAAGCAGCAAAGGAAGATTTAAAAAAAAAACCTTGATTTGGGGAGGGTGGTAACTCTTATATTGTGCCGCACCCATTTACACCAGCCGGCTGTGTCATCTGCAGATGCCGCCGCTGCCACCATCCAGGTGGTGGTGGGGGATAGCTCAGTGGTTTGAGTATTGGCCTGCTAAACCCAGGGTTATGAGTTTAATCCTTGAGGGGGCCACTTAGGGATCTGGGGCAAAATCAGTACTTGGTCCTGCTAGTGAAGGCGGGGGCTGGACTCGACTCAATGACCTTTCAGGGTCCCTTCCAGTTCTATGAGATAGGTATATCTCCATATATATTTTATATCCACTGCTCTCTTATGGTCTCCCAGGGCGCGTTTTGCTTCCTCTCCTGGCTTCTTCATCTCAGACTTGTCCCCAGGGCCTTTTGTCTTTATAATTCCAAATGGATACAAGGGCTCTCTTTCCCATAGTCCCCTATTCCAACCAGTAAAAGCTCCATGTCTTGATGATCCTTTCCAGTGGCTGTGGGCTAGGTGAGATGCAGAGGCAGGGTGAAGGCTAAGGAGCGGGGTCAGAGTGGCGTGAGAGTGCTGGGAGCTGTTCCCACCACTCAAGGCTAATCGGGGCTGCTGGGTTCAGGAGGCTGGATGTCTTGTCCTGTCTCATTATCTCGTCTTAAAAAAATGGACACTCAAGGCCTACTCCGATTGGTGCTAAGCACCCAGAGCTTTTAGGAAAGTCAGACCTAACCCTGAAACGGGGAGGAGTTTGTAATGACTTCCTTATTTTGGGCATTTCCGCCAAGTCCTAAAAGCAGAGCATTACCCTGGGCTGGGACTGTGCAGCTGAGACGATGCTGGTGATCTGGGCAAAAGTTGAAGGATTTTCAATACGTTGTTGGTCCCATCAGGAGTTTGGCCTGAGCTGATCTGATGGAAGGAAATGCTGGGAAGAGGCCAGCTGGATCGATTGCTTTAAGGCGGAGATGCACCTCAGCCAAAAATCCCAACTCTGACCCAGGGCCACCCAGAGGATTCAGGGGGCCTGGGGCAAAGCAATTTTGGGGGCCCCTTCCATAAAAAAAAGTTGCAATACTATAGAATACTATATTCTTATGGGGGCCCCTGCGGGGCCCAGGGCCTGGGGCAAATTGCCCCACTTCCCTCCCCCCCCCCCCTTGCTCTGGGCAGCCCTGCTCTGACCTCTCCAAAACTTTGGGGAAGTTGGAATCCAGATCTGGACTGGACAGCTTGGGCCCAGCTCTGGTCAAAGCCAGCAAGCGACTGTTGGGGTGTGTTATGACCAAACCTTTGTGATAAATGTATTCCATGCCCCTAAGCCAGGGCTTTCATCATCTCAGAAAGATTTACCCATGTCCCTGATCTGGGAAAGGCCCACGTGTGCTCATGCTTTACTCACTAGTGCACAGTTAACCTAGGTTATGCCTCGGGCATGGCCATGAATAGCCATGGTGCCACTTTGGTGAATCCCCTGTCCCTGGATGACAGGTGGCAGTGCTTAACGTGACCATAAATCCCAAAGGCACAGATTTAGTGACTGACTACATGTCACCCTTCAAGAGCTCCTTCCCTCCCAGAATCTCCAAGCACTTTATACACGCTAATGGATGAAGGGGGTCAGGTCTCCTTCCGCAGGATGTGGCATATCCTCATCCTGCCGATAGGGAAACCGAGGCACAGTGCTTAAGCGACTTGCCCAAGGTTGCAGAGTGAGTGTGTGAGAGCGAGGAAAAGGATCGAGATCTCCTGACTCATCACTGCGTGTTCTAGTCACTAGGCAGTGCAAGGATGGGTGGCCCAGTGGGCAGGGCTCTAGTTTGGGACTTGACACTTGGGTTCGGTTCCCTTTTCTGGTGCAGATTTCCTGTGTAATCCTGGATTGAGTCACTTAGTGTCTGTGTGCATCAGTTCCCCATTGGTAACACGGGGAGACTAGCACTGTCCTGCCTCCCATGGGTGCTGTGAGGATAAGTATATTACAGATTGACGTGCTCCGATCCAATGGTGGTAGCCCTGAGACAGACCAAATCCTAATGCAATTGGAACCACACGGGCTCTGTCTTTCTCTTGAGTGGCACCAGCATCTGACCCTCCCTGTGGCTCGCTCCCTCGGAGGCTAAGGCCGCTTGCCTTGAGTAGACATGACATAATTTGCAGCACACAGACTGTTTTCCCCCCGCCCCCTTCTCCTATCCTCCCCCGTGTCATATGTTCCAAGGTACACTGCATTTTCGGTAAGTGAATAACACTCAGCTTCTCCTCCCCCCATTTCTCCCCCCCCCTTCCTGTGCTGCATGGTGTTTATATGGATTACAGAGCAAATTGCTTGTTCTTAGCCAGCTCCGTTGAGTGGTGCCTGCCTCCCACGGGCTGATCTTGGATGCACAGTGACTCAAGCCGCGTTGCTGTGTGTTGGTGAAGAAGCAGCACCTCCAGTATTAAAGGAGAGGGACAGAATGGGGCAGGGGGGCAGTAAGAGATGGCACTGAGCCCAGAGCATTAGAGCAGAATGGACTATGCTGGCGTATCTCTCTAGGAGCTGAAAGTCCACGCTGATACAGTAGCATTTCTGACAGGCTGAAGTTTCTAAATGTCAGACTGTACCATTTATGCCTTCATTTTTCTTATTTATTTCAGCCATTATACAACCAGCCTTCAGACACCAGGCAGTACCATGAAAACATTAAAATGTAAGTATGTGGCAATAAAGTCTATTTGAAATGTCAGGTTATGCATTAGGCTGGAGCAGAGGAGATGCTAGCCTGCCCCCAGATCCCATTTCCCATTAAGGCTGAAAAGAAATAGCGTGTACCCTTTTAGCGATATTGTGTGGCTGCCATCGGTGCCCAGAGCATCGAAACGTCTTAAAAAGTACATCCGTCAGGAACAGCAGAGTTCGCAGGATGGTAAAGGTACCGTTTGATTTGTGTGGTGAGCAGTGGGGGGGGGGGGGGGGGGGAGTTTTAAATGAGTTGGTTAGATGGCTTGGTGCATTTTATATACGGGAGAACGTATTTTAAAAAAGGATGAATGGGGGCAGAAGTTGGAGAGCCCAAGTGGTGTTAGTGGCTGCTTGGAACCTCTTTGGCCAGCTGAGGAAAGCTGCTGGGGTGTTCCACAAGGTGCGCTAGGAGGCAACGGATCATCTGCAAGCAATATTGGGAAAACGTGCTCGGCTTCTTAGCCATTGCAAAGGGGGAGAAAGAATGTGTAATGCTAGTCCCTAAGAAAAGCCACTGTTCACCCTGCTTCCCTCAGGTTTGTAATACGACCCAGGAGAGGACTGGGAAGAGCTTCAGATCAAATTTACAAAAGTAAGAGATCAACTCAGATCCTCTTGAATTGGTGGCAGGGTTTACACCCTCAGACGAGCAAGTGTGGCTGAAACTTGGCAGAATGCGGGAGGGGAAAAGGAAGATGTATCTGTACTGAGCACCATGGCAGTATTGTATGTAGCTTTTCAAGAGCCTGCACTCCTTAGTCACCTTTCTAACCTTTCCATGCTTTTGAGTCTGACTGTGGATTCTTCTTTGAGCTCCGTTGTCTGATTGACAGCGTCGAGTCCAGGTATATTTCAGAATGAAATGTAAGCGCAGTTTTGTTTGACACATCCTGAGGTATGAAATTAACTGTCAGCTTTTTTGAATGTGTTTTGGGAAGGATAGATTGAAGTGAAAAGTTGGACAGTACTTTAAAGTGCCTCTTCTGTCAATGAGGCTGTAATTGAATGTTTAATAACAGATTATTACAAAGATATTTACCAAGTTTTAAGAACAGGAGTACTTAATAATCCTGTAGTCAATTACTTATCTTTTAAACCTCAATAAATGATTAGATAAACAATTGATATTTAGTGACTACAGTGAGTTACTGCAGATAGAATGAATATAACAGATAAACTTCTAGATTTATTGTAAATTGAAATGAAAAAGGTTCACATGTGATCTAACAGTTCTTTTCTGGGTTGATTCTATACTGATGATTACTTTCAAATCACCTAGTTGTGCCTACATGGGAGACAAACACCTGTTCTAGTACCGAGCATACCAGCCATTTCCTAATATTCTGTGGCTTTCAGTGGAATGTTAATAGATGCCAGGCGAGTTGAAGTGAAGGAGTTAACATACAGCATCTTTCTTATTACAGGATTCAGGATGTAGTTAAATGTGTTATGAACTGACCTGATTTATAGGCATTTAACTGGTGTTCATCTCTGTGGTATCCATAAAGGGAAAGGATTGTCCAGTGGTGAGAATGGTAGTCTGGGAATCAGGAGAGCCAGGTTCAAGACTCTTTTCCTTACAGACTTCCTGCATGACCTTAGGCAACTCACTTAAGGTAAAATGGCCAAAAGCACCTAAGTGATTTAGGAGCCAAGGTCCCATTGAATTTTCTCCTTTCTGTGCCTCAGCTCTCCATCTGTGAAATGGGGATGATAGCACTGCCCTGCTCACAGGGGTGCTGTGAGGATCAAGACATTAAATTCTGTGAGGCTCTCAGACTCTATGGGAATGGGGGCCATACAAGTGCCGACAGAGAGTAGCAGAATGCCTCACAGGCATTAACAAGTGAAGCACCCCCATGGGGTAGGGAAATATTATCCCTATTTCGCAGGTGGGGAAATTGAGGCACAGAAATGAAGTGCCTGAGGTCAGATCAGAAGTCGGTGGCAACTCAGGACCAGAACTCATGTTTCTTAACCAAAAATCTATCCATTCGCTCCTTGATTTTAAGTGTTACTCTGGATTTCTTTACTTAGTTTAGCCTCTTCTCCAGTGATTGAGAAGTCTCGGCTGCCTTCAGCAGCGTCCAGAAACATAGATTATCTTTAAATCTCTGATTTTATACAAACATAGTTAATTTTTCAAGTTCACGTTTGCTTGCCCTCACCTCCTGCCTAAATGGCCTCACTTCTGACTTTTGCACCCGAAGAGTTCATTTCCAGAATGATGGATCCATGCATACATTGTCAATTACAGCCCGTTGATATTTACCAAGAGCGTCCCTACTGATTAAGTGGGATCAGAAAACATGTGGCTTTGATAATGCATTTACCTCTGTTGATCATATCTGAAGCTTGGCAAGCATTGCCAGAACCCTTCTGCAAGTACTCACTTGGGTTTTTAGGTGACACTGCTGTGGCTTGTTTTCCAATTGGTTCACGTTAAGCAAATGTTCTGCCCGTTGGGTTTAATGAGCAGGGGGATTTGCAAAGGAAACTCTTTGCCAGGAATGAACACAAATGTTAAAGCCACAGGTACTGATACTCAAAGTGGAAGTTTTTTTTATAAACATCTAGTTGGGGAAGATGAAGCATGCTGTGGGATATACCTGACCAATGACCGTGAATGGGCAGCTGGAATTTTGAATTGTATGCCCCCAGCACACTGCACTCAATTGATGAGTTATTAAATAGAAAAAGTAAAATGTAAGGAAATTGATGTGTGCTCACGGATGTTCCAGGGGCAGGAAAAGAGCTGTATTTCTCAGATGAATTACACATCGGGAATTATTTATGTGGCTGTAATTCCTGTTCATAATTTTCATCTGACGTTCAGGTGTTAGGAAGTACAAAGCAGCGGAAGGAGAATAAGGTGCTAGGGAAGGACCCAGCCCAGGAAGGATGCTGCTACCTGGGGGTCTGTATTCTCTGAACGTTCACTTAGGGCTATATAGCTTAGCGGAGATCCATTCTGCAATGGGATGATGATGCTTGTTTTGGGAATGGAGTATTAAGCTACCATCCAGCAATGAGCTCTTTGCAGGCAGATCCCTATGCCTGCTGGCACAGGGGCCTGCCTGTTCAGAGCTCATGTCACTTGCTTTCTGGTAGATATGTTGCATCAGATTCAGTGTTCTTATTGGTTTTTGCTTTGCTTTGCCACTACTTAAACATGATTGTCTCGAGCCTACGGAAAGCTGTCACAAACTGCGTATCTGAAGTGACACTGTCAAATTGATAGCTAGTCAATTGTGAAAAGAATGGGTTACTAGTAGTTCCAGATATTACACCTGCCTCTGAGTCTCCCTGCCAATTTCTATGGTTTTACAATCCCATTTTCCTAGTATTTAAATGATTTTCTCCTTGCCTCTTGCTTTGTGACAGACCCATACAAACGGGGAACTAACTAGCTGCCTGTACAGGGGAACAGTGAAACTGATGGTTAAACACAAAGTGCTGTCAAATACACAGAATTAAACTCTGAAAAGAGAGAAAATGGTGTTCTCTGATCTTTCGTTCCTAGTCATCTTAGAGATTACTTATAGCCATAGTGGGTAATATATTTCCAGGTAGCAGTGTACAGGTTTTGCTGTTACTGGTTTTTTGACATTAATGGTGTCCTTTAATGAGCATTTTTTATTATGGGTTTGATTGTCCTGCCCCCATAACTTACTGTGTTGCAATAAGCAAAAGGAGACCTTAAGGCAGGTAGGTTTGGGGTTTATGCTCAGAGTGATTTGTTCAGCAAAAATCGGGAAAATAAACCTTAACATTTAAATTAAAAATGTAAAACCCTTCCTTTCCTTTCTGGCCTATCACAGAAACCCCCCAATTAGCCATGTCAGCTGGTTATCAAAGCCAGTGAATGCATTCCTGGATCTAGGTCAGCATAAGGACCTGAAGCCATCTCTGTTCCAAATGCCCTCTTTTTAACAGTGGTCCCATCTGGAAGGTCTTGTTTTCTAGAGTGTCTTGGTTTACATATTTGCTTTGTTACCTGTTGTTGAATGTGCAGGGAAATTGGCAGGTCACATTCTTCCCTCTGTTTCTGTGCCCCAGCCTGGAGTTAAGGGATGTAAAACCAAGGCCCCAAACCACTCCTGGTACTAATGATCCCATGACACTTTTTGCAAGAAGAGAGCATGTGAAGCCGCAGCATCTCGACCAGATTCATTTTGGATGCTGGTATCCTGGGTACAGCTCTCTTCCAGTTTTGGTTGGAGATATTCTTCTTCTTCCCTCCCCACTCCTTTTAAAATTGGTGTGTAGTTTTGCTAACAAATAACAGCTGCCATCTTCCACCCCAGAGGTGGCTGAATTACAGTGGGAGGTGAAGTGATCCTTACAGAAGAGTCCTTGGGGAGACGTCTTCAGGATGGACAGGATAGAGTCGGAAGGTAGCATCACAAAGGTACAGCGGATTCCCTCAGGCTAAAGTACAGTGGGGTTATCTGTTCCTGTGAATAACTTCACTTTAAGCAGGGGTTCACTATAACCAGACCTGCAGCTGGCCTATGCAGGGAAATAATCTGGGATGGCCATTCTCCTTAACTATCAACAGGATTTCACTGTAAACTAGTTCCCCTGTGTTAAAGGGTACGTCTATACTTACCTCCGGGTCCGGCGGTAAGCAATCGATCTTCGGGGATCGATCTATCGCGTCTTGTCTAGACACGATAAATCGATCCCGGATCGATCCCGGAAGTGCTCGCCGTCGACGCCGGTACTCCTGCTTCGCGAGAGGAGTACGCGGAGTCGACGGGGGAGCCTGCCTGCCGCATCTGGACCCGCGGTAAGTTCGAACTAAGGTACTTCGACTTCAGCTACATTATTAACGTAGCTGAAGTTGCGAATCTTAGTTCGAAGTGGGGGGTTAGTGTGGACCAGGCCAAACACAGAATGACACTATGTGTAACAAGTTTCACACCTGGCCTTGCAAGGACAGTCTAGCACTTTTTTCTCTAAATA